TTCAATCCTTTATACGTACTTCGTCAGGTCTAACAAATTGTTCTAAGTGATCTAGATAAATATAATTAGTTGATGAATTGTTTTCTATGATTTATAAATGGTTTCGTTGTGTAAATCTGTATATAAATGACAGACTGAAGAACCAGAGAACATACGAGGGTTTATTATTTTTTAATACTCACATGCTGATTGGGAGGGGGCGGACATGACGAGACAGTCTCTCCTTCCCTTGTTAAGGTAAAACGTTATTGTTTCATCGTTTAACACTTTTACTATCTTGCTCGTTACTACTTTCTTTTACTATATTTTAGTGGCTTTCCTAACCTTCAGTGATAGTTTCGTCTTTCAACGTCAAACATTTATAGAAAAAATAAAACCCGTCGCCATGCGGGTTCGCTTCATGAAAACTCCGCCGTGCATTTACTGCCAGACCTGTCCGTAAACGCGATAAAATCATATTTTGAAGTCTATTGCTATACACAACAGTTGTTGAAACGGAGAAACATAATGAATATTGAATTCGTTCTTCAAAAAAGGAGGTGAATACCTAGATCCTTGTGCAAAAGACCAAAAGTACAGAAAATGTTCAAAACACAAACGTTTTCAACACACTTTAAAAACTGAAATATATTTTAATAGTATTGGTAGTAATATATTTCTAAATACACATTCAAAAATGTTTATTATTATAGTTATGTGTTATATTGCAATTAATTCTGCAGTTCGCCATTAATCACCCTCATTTGCGTTCTCTGGCTACCGGAATGGCATTGTACGCGACCGTTAACGCGCGTCAGATAGGCAGAAAGCCCGAGGAGCCCCGAGCTCTGGCCACTGGAGATGTGCGCGCCCACGCGTCGCCCGCCCTCTCGCGCTGTTGTCTCAGCGACGCGCCGCCCCGGGTGGGCGGGTCGTCAGGGGCGAGCGTCGCCAGCGCCCAGCAGTGGTCACGCCCACGTTGCCACCGTCCGTTCCTTCGCCGCCTCCGCCGTCTGTTTTTTTTTTTTTTCTAGCGAGATGTGCACCTCTCACAACCTCAAAACCTTGTTGCGGGGCTGCGGTTTTTATTTGCGTACTCTGGGAAGCAGATTTTTCAGGGCGCCCAAGGGTACCAGAAGATTACTGGAGATAGTGTTGAGCCCGTACACAGGATTTGTCTGCTGCCGCCGTCTCCGGTTCTATCATCACTGCTTCCGAGGCATTCGCTATCGTCATCTTCACTGTCCCTCCATCAGCCTCAGAGTTTATTTTAACATCATACACAGGAATATCACTTAGGAAAGGCTCTTACAATCCTGTGAGGCTTCAGTAACTTTTTTGTCTTTAAAGCGTGACCAGCATGAGGTCTAGCAGAATTTCTGGTCTGCAGATAGTGTAGCGGTCAAGTGCACGTTCTGACTGAAGCCATCGCCGATACCAACTCCACCATACCTTCTTGCACTCCTCTTCTATCGCTTGTTTCATTGATTATTTCGTATTAATTTTTATAAACATCTGACAAGCGTTTAAAGACGAAAGTATCACTAAAGGTTCAGAAAGCATTACTGATTATTTCATGTTTTCGGGCGCGCCAACTGCAGTGGGTCCATAGTTTCGTGAGTTTAGAGCATTGTTTTATAACTAGATTGTGGTCTTCTCCTCTCGCAGATCCGGCGACGACCTACACGTCGGATATCCGGTTTGCCCATTCACGTATCTTCCACCAGCGAAGAACCGCGCCAGACGAGACAAGTTCTAAGTTCCCAACAGCGCTCCTGATAAGTGTCATAATGAAGTTTTTGTATGTGTGTATGGGATGAGGATAGGACAAGTAAGAGAAAGGAAAGATTGCGATCGGTA